TATGAAACAGCGGCTGGCTGATTAATTTATATTCAACATACGGTCAATAAAGCTGTAAAAAAGCAAAAAGAAAAAAAAGTTGAAAATTATAAATAAGATTATTAATATGATCGCCAGAATGGGAAATATTAGGTTATTTTTTTGAATACTTGGTATTTTAGGGTTCAGTCATACAAAACAATAAAATCGATGCATTACTACTTCGTGGTGATTTATTCAACTACAATTGACGGCACTAGAGCGATTGTGTAAAACATCGATGATTTGGAATTGATTTACAATCCTAAAATGCAGTCGATCTATCGTTAAGTGCCATCGATTGTACTTCGATATATCGCGACACAAAATAGATGCATCGATTTATTTATTTTTCGGTATTTATGTGAAATTTATATTTATATTATATTTAACTCTTGAGTCTCCAACAAGATTCCGTTTGCTTTTAAATTTCTTTTAAAATGAATTTTTCGATGTTCACGCCTAAACATCGATGATCGCCCTCAAAAAAACATCGGAAGAAGTCGAGTACTGTTTATCCAAACATCGACGATGGCAAAAAAAATCGATGTTTTACAATTCTTTCAGTTTGTCGTCGGCTGTCTCATTGAACGGGTCGTTTTAGGAAGTGTTTTGCGTACAGAGAGAGAAAGAAAACACGTGGTCTTTGAAATGAGTGAAATTTCTCTTTTAGACCTGGATGAATACAGTCTGCTTCTCGTAATGAGCTATTTGAGTGACGAAAATCTTTACAAATTATCGCAAGTTTGCACGAGACTACGCCAAATGGTCAGGAGGTCGCAAAAAAAGCACAAGTATTTGAACACTTATAAGATCAGTGTTGAAGCATGTCTTGTGTCTATAGCTAGTTGTAGGGAATTATGTGTTCACCACGAGATGAACGCTCCCAATTATTCATTATTAGACATGCTTGTCGACAACATAGGACACATGACCAACCTAAAGAAGTTAGAGTTTGTAAAGATCCCCGATACCGACAAATGTGCTGCATCGTATAGCTCAATTATATACGCTGCTAGAAACTTACCGGATTTGAGAGTCTTGCGTATTGCTGGCAAGTAATATTTAAATTACTGTATTATATCTATTTGAAAATCCCATCGATAACATATGAGTTCATACTTATGTATGTACATATGTATGTGTGTGTATATTGGACTGTTTTGTCATTACAAAATCTTGTAACAATTTACAATATACAGATGTATATGTATAAGATGTTATGTATATATGTATATATGTCAATATATATGTATGTTCATGCTTGCATGCATACACACGTACATACATACAAATGTATGTATGAACGAGATGCGTTAAAGGGCAGTCGTGCAGTAAAGAATTGCTGAAAGTCGCGGATTAAATCAGTTCTATTGTAAACCCGCTTCATTGTCGTAGTATATAAGCAAGTATATACACACATACGCATGTTTATGTACATATGTATGTATATAATGCATACTTTTCTCCAAATACCAATTCTCAAATTATTTTTCAGGTGTTGATGGCACGGAGAACATCCGATTCTTAACACACCTTGAAACGTTTGAAACGACCTCAGGAATAGAAGCTGAAGATTTGATCGAATGCTGCAAATCAAATAAAAATCTTCAAGTTTTATCTTTATATGATATCTTTTTTGGACCCAAAACAAAATTGGATGGCATTGAAAAACATTGTCCTAATGTAGAACATCTGATAATACACATAAGTAACGCATACAAGTACACCCCTTTTGCCCGCTTACCAAAATTGAAAAATTTATGTATCACTGGACACCCAGGCCATATTTTACATTTTCTGCCAGAAATCAGATCTGAAAAACTAGCACAAATAGAAATGCTTGACCTCTGTGTTCCGTTTCTTGTTAAACTTCAATCCGCCAAAATCATTGCCAGAATGAAATCCCTAAAACATTTGACGTGTCGAATTGATGTCGGATCTTTGGAATTGATAAGTCAACTTACGGAGCTAAGAAAACTTCTGGTCGCCTTGGAAGGTGTCGTGGATAATATCATCATCATACAACTCTATAAAATAATACAAGCTAATCCGCAACTGGAATGTATGATGATAAAGAGAATTATTTTTCTTGATGTTAGTTTTATTCTTGAAGTGACTAAAATACTGCACTCTGTTAGAGATCTGAGTGTGCAAAAGCCGTTAAAATTGTTAATCGCATTTAAACTAAAACCGGCCGAAGTGAGTCAAAGAAATGATGTTTTGTTATCTTGTTTAAGAACTTATACCTTCTTTTCTCCTTTTTTATTTAGTTACAACAAATTGATTCAAAGTACATTGAATTAAATCAGACAAATGGTGTTCTTTTATATTAAGACGATGCTTTATGGTGACAATACGACATCGATATTTCCTAAATACAAAGTCTGCGAAGGGAATGTTTAGTTTTCATACCAATCCTTTGACTAGTACATTACCAAAATGTACTTTCCAATATTTTAAGTTTGTTGTTAAGAATGATAAGTTCACTTTTTATACATATACAAGTATATATGTACTCTATGTATAAATAATATCGATAAAGTACATTTAAGGCAAGGCCAATATTTGTAAACCCCTTAGGATGGCGATTTTTCAGTTTCATTACTTTTTGCAGAACATATGATTTGAAAATATAATACTTGTGAATCATTTTAAGTTGATAGACGATATTTAGACGATGCTTTATGGTCACAATACGACATCGATATTTCCTAAATACAAAGTCTGCGAAGGGAATGTGAATACGTATAATGAAGTTTTTTATTTTTTTTAGTTTTCATATCATTCCTTTGACCATTACCAAAATGTACTTTCCAATATTTTAAGTTTGTTGATAATGATAAGTTCACTACTTTTTATACAAGTACATATGTACTCTACATATAAATAATATCGATAAAGTACATTTAAGGCAAGGCCAATATTTGTAAAACCCTTAGAATGGCGATTTTTCAGTTTCATTACTTTTTGCAGAACATGTGATTTGAAAATATAATACTTGTGTATCATTTTAAGTTGATATGACCCTGTCTGTTATTATATCAAAAGATATAATTGATTAAAACAGGTATTCTCCAGTTCAAATGAAGCTATTTCTATTTTAATTTTATACTTATGATCGATTGATCGTTACGTTCATATGGTTCATATATCAGATGAAATGTACTAATACCACCCCTTATGTAAATAAATTAATAATTATGTATAATATTATTGAATATTGGTTTTTCGGATTTTCGATCTTGCTTACTTACTTAAAAATAAATAAATGTTAAAATAAAATATAAATATAATTAGATCTATGAGAAAAACATGTATTTGAATGCTTCAGAAAAAAATTTGACTTGTGTTTCTTTTAATTCTGTTTTTGTTTCGCGTCGAAAAATGAACATTACAGTTTCCCTCAAACTCTGCATCTGCGGGCGGTTCAGCAGTCGCAGCACTTGTCAAACTGTTAAGCTTAATCAGGCAATGTTAACAGCGAGCTCTAAACTCGCCTTCCAGCAGTGCATGTCAAACCCGAACTGCAGTCAATTGCTTATCATAGCAGTTCCCCTTAACATTTTGATCTTACTCGTAAGCAGAGCTGAAGCTGCATGGCTTAATCAAGCCATGTTAAGGGCAATGCTAAATGTAAAAACTTCAGTTACTCTCAAACTTTCCCAACAGATCGAATGATCAGTGAAGCCTAAACGAACTATAGAAATATTAGTGTATTCGGCAGCTACATGATATATGTGGCAAGGCACTATACATACAAACAACAAATTTGGACACGATATTGTAATAAGCAAACAAGTTTTTGGCCCAAAAATTAAATTTTGCACCGATCCTTCCTATGATAGCTATATGATATAGTGAGCCGATTTTAGTAAAACTTCGGGCACTGAAAAAAACTTTGTTTCTGCTATGGGCGCATATAAGTGCGCTTGCACGACTATATCTTTCTCTTTTGTATTTGGTTTGAAAAAAAACTAGTTATTAGGGATGAAAAATAAAAGTTTCAGTTACTTTGGTTTTTATTGTTTAATTTGTAGAAGTTGTACATAGGTAGTCATTATTTTCAAATATTAATTATTTTGTGTAAACGTACTGCTGTAGTTTTTGAGGCCCTTTACCACATGATTAAAATGTGTATTTTAATTTATTTGAAATGTCACACGATGCTCAGCACACAGAATGTTTTAAGCATATACTTGTATGTAAATACACATGCACATATATACTATACATATGTACATACACACGAGTATATGGATATATAAATCCTTGCTAAGCTGGACCGGATGCATGTTAGGGCGCCATATGACGCTTTTGATATGCAGCATGCAATTTACTGATTAATTTAAGCGTTCTACTAATGCATAAATTAATTTTAAATAACAGTTGCAGGCTAAATTATAACAGTGTTGCCCTCCAGGGGGTGGGGATGGAGGAGGTGTGCTGCTGAGTTGTTGATGTAGATGGAGTCAGGTTGCCTCAGGCAGCAGCAGCAGCAGCAACGGACGGTAGCAGCTGACAATCGCCTGGGCGGCGTATGGCAGATTTTCGACTAGGCTGGCCGCTAGCATACAGTGCGTATGATAAATGTGTTCCGCCCATACGCACGTCCACTCAGAGGCAGAGGGAGAATCGCATAATCAATATGTCAGTGCATTTAGCAAACGGACGAGCGGCGAGGCGGACAAACCCCTAAAATATACGTTAATTGTAATTGCATATCTCGATTTGCGCGCCCGTTTGTGGCTTTTTCGCTTCACCTCGTCCTGGTGTCAAACCAGTTAGTAACAGCATCAGCAGGATGGCTACCACAGGCACCATCAACAACAGCAAGAACAATAGCAGCAATGGTCATCCGTCTAGTCATTCATCTATCTAGTTAACTTGTCTCTGCCGTTTCCATCGAATTTGCATTGTTTTATTTATGTTTGCCATTACAAATGTTTGTCGCACACACACACACACACACACACGCACAAATATATACATAATCCTATATAGAGATTGTGCCTGACTTGCCAGTTTGCAATTGTTGTTGTTGTAGCTATTACGTATTATTGCTGCTGTGTTTTGTACATAGTACATATAGGCCTTTATCTGCGTGCTAATTGTGTTGGAATTGCAAATAGATTGATGTTTTTGGCTCGATAGTAGATTATACTTGTACTTATTGCTTGGTGCCTGGCATGTGTGCGTGTTTGTGTGACTGAAAATGGACTGAAAATTAAACAAAATTATGAAATATTAAGACGATTATGCAATGAAAAGGACAGCCTTTATTATTGAATTGCTATAATTATTTAACAAGGCAATAAGAGCTTATGGAGTTCATTGAGAATCTGAACTACTCACCTTTTCAATACCATAGTGGTGGGCGCATATTATTTTTTTCAAGTCAAAATTGTTTTGCAATGCAAAATCTGCAGTGACAGATATTTCAATAGAAATGGAATCGGAATTTCTTTATTGACTGTCCAATATTGAATTTTTAGATACGAGAAAACGTTGCAACAGTTAGCCGTAAGGTTAGCCGTAAATAGGAAAATTTTGCTGTTTATTAAACACACTGTTATGTTTATGACACTAATTCTTATTTTGTGTATTTTAGCTCAATATCATTTTGAATTTGGTGTTATCTAGTTGGTCAACTATAAGTATCTTATATTACAGATTATAAACTGTCTAAAATGGCTGAATTCAATAAATCGTGGCTACAAAATAATGTAAATTTTTTTAATATCAATTTATTCGTTATGACAATTACAAATTTTTTTTTTTTTTATAAAATAAAATAAAACTTAAACAACAATTATTATTTTATTAGTTATTATTGTTATTAAAACTTAAAATGAATCATTAATTTTTGAGAGAATGAATAGGAAATACAATTTTTAAAACGTGATGTTATCATCCTATAAAAAGGATATTGGTAAATTCCTCGATTTCTCAAAGTTACTATAAGTGAATGATTTTTTCGTTTAAAAAAAAATCATTATTTGCGGTCCCTGGCACACACACAGTGTACGATTACTCAACTACTATCTATTCGAATGTCAATAAATTCTGACGGGATGTCAAGAAAAGATTTACCCATTAATATGTGGCACTACCAAAAAATAGCCTGCTCCTGTTAATTTCGAGTCACTTCAATTTGATGTCTGAATAAGCGGTGTCAACCAATTATGGATTCTGACACGTGATTACCTTTGCACAATGCTGATTAATGCTCTTGTTGTGCCTTATAAGTAATTTTAAAATGAAGGCATCTTTACATGTTCACTAAATTGCGAATAATTATGGCGAACAAAACAGCTTAATACTAGTAGTAAGGCTTTATAAAATATGTATGGCTCGAACGCAATGTTGGACAAGAGTTTTCACAAATTCTCAACCCTCTTCAAATATTTTACAGATGTTTCATCATCCCATCTCAAATTAAAAATTAAATGAAATCTGTCATGTTGCCGAACAAATTCTTTAGACCTGGCTTAATGATGTCAAGATTTCTGTACTAATATCAATTCTGTCGTCTGTCAGCTTCGGGTTAAATGTCATGTTACTTCGATATACATTTTAAAAAGTTTCGTAAAGATTTGCTATTTGCACATTTTAATAAATTACTTACCTACATACTTGTATGTATATAGTATGTTTTGTTCGAATGCTTTAAATGTTGTGTGGCAAGGTGAAGTAATATTGCTCAGTAATATAATTAATATGTACTCGCATGCTTAGTTCAAGTATTCGAAACAGCAACCAATTTAAATAACATGCTTCTAAATGCTTCGAGCGAATAGAGTTAAGAGAAATTTGATTTAAAACAAAAGTTGCCTTCATTCTCAGCATGATGCCTAATACAACAAAAATAAACAGTTTGTGACTTGATTAACAGATTAACAATGCAAGTGTGTTTAAAAAAGTTTATATTCTTCTTCTATTATTCCATCAGGGATATTCAAACGTTTTTTGAAGAAAATATTACTTGTAGATGGCTGGCTACAATCCAGCTCAAGGAATGACAAGGAATGGGTTTCATTTTCGTTGAAATTTGATATTAGGAATTTTTCAATAAATAGTGCTTAAGACAGCAACCATATTTATCTTATTATAATCCAATTAACAAACTGTTAAATCGTGAATTGGTTTTTAATCTAAAACAATTGAAGCTTGCTTCGCTAGGAAAATACATATACTTGCTAATTTTATTAGTGAACTAGGTCTCTCTTACTCACTCATACTAAAAAAATGAATTCAGTCTCGTTAAAACTAGCACAAGCACACTGCTGTTATCCAATGCTGTAGTATTGAGATTAGATTTTCAATCACACAATGCCTTTATTTGTCTGTTTAAGTTTTCAGACAGCACAGCACTGTGTGGGCTTTCAAGCTGGGTTCAATTTCGATCTATTGTGCTAATTAACTGCAAATTGCTTTTCATATCATAGATTGACACCAATGCAAGTGGCAATTACTGCATATGACTGAACCAAAAGCCGCAGTAATGGTAAGAGCAACAACAGCAACCAATCGTTGACAGTCTCTAACAATTGCCACAGGCAAAGGGCGTTAAGTATTCGTTTCGTTAGGTTTCTATGGCAATTTCAAATTAAAATCAAATCAAATTTGTGGCACCAAGCACATTTTTTTAAACTGTCAAATGCCAATGCGGCAACAAAAACTGTCCCAAATAGTCATCTAACTATGAAACGCCAGGCTCCAGTCCGGCCACAGCTTTGGGGTTTTATCCAATGCCGATTGATACGGGATGCGGCAGGCGCCCCCCATTTAGTTTAATTCGGATTGGTTTGGGACGATTATATTCGATTCGATTCGAATCGATTTGCCTGTTGCTGTTGCGGTTGCACAAAGAAATTTTCAATTAAATCTAATGAAATGTGATTGCAGGTTGCTCTTGTAGGCACCCCCCGCGTTATATTTGTTGTTTTCAGTGTCAGTGATGCGCGATGTTGTTGTTACGAGTATTTTTATTGTTGTTGTTGTTGTTGTTGCCATTGCCATTGCTATAGCTGTTGGTCATTTTGCATGCGAATTGGTCGATGCAGCATTTGCAGTTAATGCCACTTAATTAATAACGACACTGTTTTATTTGTTGCCACTTTTCATTTGTTTAATGATATATCAATTTTTTCTTTTATTGTATTCTGCCCATTTTAATGTTTGCATGTTTTATTTGGTTCTCTGTTCTGTTTTTAAATGGGTTTTATTGCAAATGTAATTTATTGTTGATTATCGCATTTGGCGGGCACTTAAGCGCTTAAGTGAAAAAATGTGAAAACAAATAAATGCATTGAGCTGAGTTGAATTGTGTTGAGTTGACTGAAGTGCTAGCGAGGCCTGATTGAAACAGCCAGTGATCAAATGGCCCAGTTGTAATAAAAGGCTTAGTGCGAAAAATAATTGTTCATTTCATTGCGACTGCGACTGGGACTGCCACGACATGTGGTTGTGTGTGTGTTTGTTTCGCCTGTAAGCAGATTTGACTGAAATACAATTAACGTGTTCACGATGTCCTTAGAGAGAAACGAAAAGTATGCTCTCTTCTATTAAATTACTATATATTTCAATACATATTTATATGCATGCGATGATAAACAGACAACACATTAAAAAGTAGCAGCAAAGAAAGCCATATAATGAAAACAGTGTTAATGAAACACTATTCACGAAGATGTTGAGTCAAGAAAGTTAGAAAGTTCAAAGCCTCTGATGCTACGCGTTTCTACTCTCAACCACTAGTCCTGCATAATTACTATTGGTTTCTTGCATTTGAATTTCTTAGCATTGGTTTCACATAATACATGATTTAGGAGCAATAGAATTTTAAGAAAGAATTTTTGGAGCTGATTGGATCACATGTTATTCTTACAAAATAAAATGCCATTTTAAGGTAATATTAAATATCGCAATAATTCTTATTTATAGTAAACATTGACTTAATTTATTTAGCAAGGGGCTCAAACATATATGTATAAGCTATATGTATGCATATACTTGTATAACTATCGCGTAAACTCTTATTTAAGTGCTCACTTATGGCTCGGCTCTTTCTTTCTTATTGCGGATTCCAAACAAATGGCTAACTAATGATTGACAGCTCTCAATTCGACCACAATTAAAAAAGCCTTGGCACCCAACACACACGCCTCACACGTACTCACAAATCCGGCGTAAAGCCCGTGCCAGTCAAATGAAATGCCACTGCACAATATAAACTTGCATAGAACACACATTTTTATGAATAGAAATTGTTAGCACAATAACACATTCACACATTCCCATTCGCACACTCATACACTCATTCATATGGGGAGACAGCAGATAGACACACATGCATAATGCCTAATAATCCGCATATTGTAATATCTGTATTATATAGCAGCGCCAGCTACAGACTACCGAGCGGCATTTGCAACTATGCATGAATGTCATTATTGGCAGGCCATACTCTGCACTTCCAACGTCCCGTTCGGGGCATCGAGGCAGCCCCAATTCCAGCCACCCTCGCGCTTGAGCCAGCGGGCCACCCTCTGCCCCCAACTATGGCCAACGCATATGTAAATATTGTATAAAAATTGCAGCTTAATCACGCCGAGAAGCAGAACTAAAGACCGGGACAGCATGAGAGAAGGAGCTTGTGAATGCCGGCAGCCAAAATACGAGCAGGCGGTTTCAAAGTGCCGTGTGAGTGTCGTACACTCGAAATAAAAAAGTATACGTCACAATGTGGACGTCAGCACCGGTCCCTTTGCAAAGGCAGCGCCACACCAGTAGGACATCGACACAAAACAGAATTACGAAAAAATATTGCCTCGTCTTTCGTTGCCCTGTGTTCGTCGTCAAGTAACAATAACAAATATTAGACAAGTCTCGCTACTTTGTTCTCTCTAAAACAAACTCGTATAGAATAAGGCATCTTTGTGCAAAATTTGGTGTCTCTATCTCTTATAGTCTCTGAGATCCAGGTGTTCATACGGACGGACAGACAGACAGACAGGGCTAGATCGACTCGTCTCGTCATGCTGATCAAGAATATATATACTTTGTGGGGTCTGCCACGCCTCCTTCTGCCTGTTAAATTTTTCAGCTCCCGCAAACCTAATATACATACTTCTGTACATTTCATGTACAGAGTATAAAAAGTGCAACATATAAAATGGTAAGAATATAGTATTTATACATATAAATGTTATACATGAAATGAAATAAATTTACAATTTCAGAATTGCTTGAAAATCTATTGTGCAGGAGGAAAAAATTTCAAATAAATAATTAATATGAATGTTAATATTTGTACATATTTGTTTAAGATATTATGTAATTAATATGTATACAATAAACCGAATTATAATGAATTTATGTATTGATTTATCTGTCTGGCAGAGCTATACCCAAATGGGGTAGTCACGGACCAGTCCATTGGGTAGTCCACTCGTTATAAAAAGGGACGGGTCCATTTGCCAGTCCGATGTTGACGAGACGGGGACAATTGTCCGCTTCCTTTGACATCGTGTGTAAAAACGAAGGGAGACATGGCATGAGTGCGGACTGGTGCTGGTGCGATGCGGACTGGTATACTCACCGGTTTTGGACCGGTATGCCGTACTGCTGGGTCAGTTTTCATTTATTCAAAATTCGAAACATTTAAAGCCCTAGCTTAGTAATATAGTAGCTCGTTATAAAAGGATATCGCCATTCAGTGATATACAAGAATTGAAGTATTAAGATTTAGAAATCTATTTTTCCGAGTGTACGTATGTGAATGTGCTTGAGTATATTTGAGTGTGTGTGTGTGAATGTGTCGTTAGCTTAGACGCCTGCCTGCCTGGCTGCTATTGTCAGACAAGTGTCCGCTGTCGTGTTCGCCTTTGGCAGCGCTCCACGTGACCGCCGTGCTGCATTTGTTTGTATGCATGTGTATGTGTGTGTGTGTGTGTGTGCCTGTGTATGGGAGCAATACTTGTGTATGTGGTGGTGCTTTCGGTCGCGGCTGGCTTTTATGCCCGCAGATTTGGGTTAAAAGTAGCTTCCCTTGTGTATTTAATAGCATTCTGGTTTCTGTATTTTTTTTTTACAGCCTCGCTTTGCATGCAATTGTTATGTGCCACATGCATATATTCATACAAACATACAGTCATGCACGTGTGTGTGGTAAGTCCATATGTGTGTGTGTGTGTGTGTGTGTCTGTGCCGAGTATTCTGTGAGTGCGGCAGCTTTTCGGTTGTGCAACTTGGTCGAACAGCATTGAAAATGGGCCGCCATTAGGGTTTAAGTTTTGGTTTGAGATTCGAGTCGCAAGCGCAGCACTTTGCCTGAGCCTGATTGAATCTGGGTGTGTGTATGTGGGTGTGTAGGACTCATACGGGGGAGAAGTGATTGGCAAGACTCGGTGAATTGTTGTCGTTGGCGGAGGCAGCTGCATTTGCTGCACTTACCATTGGCGCCCCCAAACTTTATGAATTGCTGCCAATGCTTCCATCTTCCATCAATGTTCATTGCTGCTCGTATGCTACGAAATATGAACGTGCATGTTTCTAAAGGACTGGAAAGTCAAACCTAAAACGTTGCTTTTAGCTTCAACTTGTATCGGTTGGTAAACTCGTTATCATCAGCTTTCCGGTCTTATCCCAACTTGATTAAAACCTACGTGTGTGTTTTCTGGATGAATTTTTCAAAATTCAGTGCAAGTTCAAAATTGAAATTTTTATGAGTTCAACAAAGCAATTGAAACATGATAGCTAGTTGCTTCTAATTAACTAAGAAGCTGCTATTTCCAAGTTCTTCATTCTCCTTGTAAGACAAATGAAAAACATGAGATCTGGCAGCATGTCCCAAATAGAGTCGGCTTATCCGATCCATATAAATATTGTAATATTGTTAGGCATGACAAAAACTAAATTTTTCAGTAAGTATCTGGTGTTCTAAATCTTCAACATTACTTACAGTCAGTCCCACAGAGAGCTCGTTAAATTGTCTACTTATCGTGTAAAGTAATAACTAGAAAAGGAATTGGAAGAATTTTAGACAGCACATGAAGGCAACCCCGAAGTGTAATTTCTCCAGTTTTTTCCATTCACTTGTCAAGTATATACAAATACAACTGACCTCAAGATAATATTGATGAGATGACTCATAACAGTATAATTGTATGTCTGTGAGGTTTACATGTTTCTTCCTCGCACAAAATCGTTTACGTGTTTTGAAAAATATAACACTAATTGAGTTATTTATAATATATGTTTATGAGTATGCTGTTTTGTTTACAACACACAATGGGAGTTAAGCATCTGATTTGGAGTCAGATCCTTGGTAATGGAGAACTTAGCGCCATCGCGCCTCATTTTGCACATAAGAGCACACAGATTCTTGGCATCATCAATGCCGGAGTGTAAGCGTCCCAATAATGGGAGTCCAACATGGGTGAGGGCATCGGTGAAGCTAGATGGCCGGTAGCTGTAGTAGTTCCTATAGATGGCACGGGCATCGATCCACTGATCGAAATAGGATGGCTTCTGCATGTCCTTGCGAATGCACTCCTTGGACAAGCAGATGCCAAAGTCCCAATCTGTCCAGGTAACGAGGGCACAATTACCCACAACGTTCTCCCTGCGCATCTTCGGAAGACACAAGTTCCTTGCGCCCAGCTCCCTACGCAGCCATTCATGGAACATCATAAGAGCAACCTTGAGCAACACCCCATTGTCAACGGTATGCTGTTGTATGCCCGTCAACTGAGTACAGTAGCTGCTGAGCTTTGGCGACTCCACCGGCATCACATATTTGTGGAACTCGGCCTCGATCATCCCAGTCTTCATGTTCATGAGAACCGCTGGAAATTCAATAATCTCCGACATGCGGTACTGCGGGGCTGGTTGGTTCTCCCAGCAGGTAGCCTCAAAGTCAACCGAAATAAGATAAGAAAATGGCTGCATTGCTAGCTTCTTGGATATCCTGGACTTGAATTTTATGTACATATTTCTCCTCTCTTTTTTATTTTTATTTTTTTCTGCGCTTACCTGTGAGTGTGCTCAATCCTTAAAAAATATTTTCTAGAATTTGATCTGATTCTGACGAATGCTAGTCTGTGAATGATGTCTCTATGCTAAATAATACAACAAACTAAGATATTGAAATTAAAGGAAAAGCCGCTTATGTGCTTCGAAAATGTATTCAAATCAAAAACAAGGTGGCACCACCTGAAAGCAGACCCTTTCATATCCTTATAGGATTCGATGTTCTTTTCGTAGCCCCCTGCTTACCGTCTTTTACTGATAAGCGATGTCTAATATTTTTTCAGCTCTTAGCGTTCTTTCCCACCTTTGATGCGGTGCTCATGCAATGAAATATCGAATGCCAAGATTCAGATTATGATCGTCAGAGTGTGGAAGTCAAATCGAAAATCTAAAACTAGTTGCTTTGAATATTGATATCATGAAAGCTTTCTTCCTTTAAATTATTTGAAGATAATCCCAATATTCATTTATTTATGAACTGACTGTGTGATTCACCATTCCGTTGTTCCTCGCAAGTCTCTGGAGGTGGAGATCTGTATAGTTTAGAAGAAAAAGCCACTAGAGCTCGCTAATAAGTACCTGCCAGTCAATTCTCTATACCCTGTACCCAAGTCAAAGCAGAAACAACAGCTGCGGGCAGAGCTTGTGCAGAGATACTTTGATGCCAACAGCTTTTTTTCCTAATTTGCCTATCATTATGAAACTTAACATACAAGCACATAAGCACTGAAGAGGTGTAATTGCCGAATTTAAAATAAAAATTTCAAGAATTACGGGTAATCGCAAATAGCGAGGGAGAATCTGGATACCAAGTTTGGTTATTCTAGCTCTTGCACTTTCTGCGATTCTTGCGTTCATACAAACGGACGGACAGGCGGACATGTCTCGGCTTGTCACCTTGATGAAGAATATATGTATATACCTTGTAAGGCCTGCCTCGCCTCCTTCTGTAAGTTTCATACATTCGCCCATCCTAAGGTAATATTGTAAACTTTTAAATACGATTTGAAATTTGGGGGTCTTCTGAATTAGTATTGTAATTATTTTTTTACAAATAATTTGCTATGCTCAAAACATTGAGCCCAGGATGTCACCGACAGATATAAGTGCATCATCACAAATACCCAGTATATCAATAATGCACGTAAGTTTCTTCCTGGGCCTCCTTGTGGGTTTATTTTTGGGGCGCTTTGTTGCTGGCCTTGGGAACAACTCGCATTTGTCAAGGCCGGCTCTTATTTCTTCGATTTCGGCGATGTCGATTTCATCAGAGGATTTAGCACCTTTACAGCGTTTCTTGTAACCACAGCCCTCAACTTCATCCGTTGAACTGCATAAAAAGTTGTAGTCTTTATGTACACCCCATAAACAATTCTTTCCGGCACGCTTTGCAGCTTCATAAGTAAGTTGGCATTTATATCTGCTGCAACCGTAGACACAGTACATCAGCTGGACAATCTTACCCTCTTGAGTGTATCTGGCAATTGCACAGCCGACTGCGTCGTTGTATCCAAATATCAGTTGAAGAAAATGTCCAATTTCCTTTCTGCCATTCGTAAATTAAATATAAAGATACGAGTTAATAGTTTTCTTCTCTCACTTACCCCTTCTGCCCCCTACCAGTACCTAAACTATCGATAGTGGTGTACCTATACTGATAATACCATGCCCTAATTTGTGCACGTATAATTTTTACTTCGTCTTGCTCCCCAGTAAATATGTTGTACGCCGAGTTATAGCCAGGGTGCGAATATTTGTCGGTTGCAAGGCACTTGTTGACGTCTTCGAGGGAGCAGCGCTTTACCAAAACCTCAGCTATAAAGGCCAGCTCTGGATTCCACTTCAGAGCCAACATATACCCTGCGGGAGGTAATCCGTGCAGCTTTCCGCTGCCAACAAGGCTTCGATACGCATTATGTTCTTTCAAAATCAGTTTCTTGGTGCTGCCCGTTATGGCCACCAAATACGGATCATCACCACATTCATCCCAATTCCAATCCTGTACATAACAATTACGGCCATCATTAAGAATATATAATAAAACTAAACAGGAACAACTTACTTGATTTCCGCAAGCCAAGTGCTTCAAACCATCCTTGCACAGCTTTTTATTGCAAAAGTCTGTTTTCTGCGATTCTCCCTGTGCCAACACCAAAACCAGAATAGTGAACAGTCGCTCCATTAACTACTGCTGTCACAATTTTTATGACTACATCTGAAGATTTGAATGGGGTCTCTGTTTTTTCGATAATAATCCAAGACGAATCGAACGAAACAATTCGTTATACATAGCTGCCAATTCGCAACACTATGTATTATTTTATTACAGCATTCCTATGGTGATTGATATATGATCCAAATAGTTAATAGTTTGTAAAAACGTATTTAAATAATTTCAGAATGAAGCGCTCCAATTTTCAGTACAACGTGGAATGGATTCAGTATAGACAGGAAAGCCCGCTCTAGAAATTCGAATGTACTTTTGTAATATTCGAGGTCTGTTCAAAAGAAAAGGTGAATGTTCAATTTTGAATTTTCGCAGGCTGTGTACATTCGATTATCGATATTTTTTCTCGTTATATTGCTACACATATGTTTATCATATCTTGGCATTATCAGCCAATTTAGATCAGTAGTTTATTGTTGACAACTGAAGAGGTAAATCACATTTTTGTGTGTACAAGTATTACGGTTTTTTAATTTTGAAAAAAAAAAATGTCTCAACCACCGTATTCAAAAGATTTGGCTCCTTGCGACTTTTTCCTATTCCCAAAACTGAAGAGAGCAATGAAAGGAAAGCGTTTCGCCACAATTGATGAGATAAAGTGAGAATCGAAGAACGAACCGAAAATCGCATTTCAGAATGCTGCGAGGATTGGAAGAAGCGCTGGCATAAGTGCATTATATCTAAGGGGGATTTCTTTAAAGGGAACAAAATGGATATTGATTAATATAAATAAATGCTTTTCAAAAAAAAAAAATCAAAATTCACCTTTTCTTTTGAAGAGACCTTATAAGTGCCGGGGGAACAGATGTCGACGAATTTTATGAACATTTTCCTTTGTCAAAAGTACTCTGGAATTTTAGATTTAAATGTATGCAGGGAATAAACAAGAGTCGAGCAAACCCCATAGTGCCGTACTATGCCACCCAAGTGGTCAGTTTGTAGTTATAGCACAAAATGTGTGAAAACCTTAATCGAAATTTTGGACGATTTTCGTTATTTAAAGTGTTGGTCCTATTTTTCCCTGAGTATGGAAATGAAGACATCTCCTTTGGAGAAGTATTGAACAAATCAGTTGCTCTTTTATTTAAAAATTGCCTTCAAGAGAGATATCCTCTTTATGATAGCTCGATAAATTGTTTTGTTTGTTTTTTTTTTTTTTTTGTAATGTATTGTTTAGGCGATGGGGAATTTAAATAATATATTTACAATTCAGTGATTCAGTAATTTACATTGCGCAAGGCCAAAGCAAAGTTGCTGCAGGCCTGCAAGGCGTTTCAAAATTCAGCTAGCATATGTGGTTGGGTAATAATTTCTGTAGTATATAGTATAATGCTGTCCTTGGACTTATCTACAAAGTTGCTAGTTGGTTTGTTCCTGTTGTTGTTGTTGTTGTTGTGCAAAAACATACAAACGTGCCCATATTCGTACTGTATGTAAGTATATTCGTAAAGCGTTGCAACTCATTGTAAATAACAAATTAAACTACAGCGCATTTGACTTTGACTTGTTATGCACAAAGGCGTGCAATGGTGGATGCCGACAAGGATGTTGATGACGAGTTCAGTTGAGTTGAAGGCGCTTTCAGGATATTGGGCGGGCAGGGGCGTATCGCATTAGCCCAACTTGAGCTGTGGCTGAAATGCGCGCTTAAGCCAAACAGAGACACAGCACTTTGTTTCAATATGCATGGCTCGACACACACAAACACACTAACATGCGAGTACACATACACCACACACACACACACATATATATGTACATACATACATAAGTTCACCCACACATCAGAACGGCATTGCCTGTGGCGACGGCGACGGTGACTGCGGCACCAAAGTCACTTACCCAAATAAATGTAGCAAAAAAGAAGTGACGTCAACGTCAGCAGCCCCACCAACACCAACACCAGCAACAGTACCAATAGCGGCAGCGGCAGCGACGTCGATGCCAGCAGCACATTGTTATTGTTGTTGCTGCTGCTCGAGTATTTATTTTGCTTGAGTGCGCTACACTTTTTAAGTTTGTTTGCAATGGAACTCAAGGCAGAACTTGCAAATATTTATTACAAACACACTTACATGCACACACACACACACTCACGGACATGTAAAGCCAAACACATCCCTGTAGGTCGATGAAACTGCTACGAAAGCACCGATCGCAGGACTACTTCGTAGTGTGGCAGCTGTACGAGTGCTCGTAGACAGGGCTGCCAATTTCGGTTTTTTCCCCGTCAAATCTGGCTGTTTCGGAATTGCGAGAAGCGGGAATTCTGGATTTTTTAGAAATGTGTTTGGCTTTTTTCAGGCACAAGGAGGCGTGGCAGACCCCACAAAGTATATACTCAGATAGAGATAGAGAGAGAGAGATAGATAGATAAGAGAGATACATAGATATAGAGATATATATATATAGATAGATATATATATATAGATATAGATATATACATATATATAGATATATATATATATATATATATATATAATATATATATATATATATATATATATATACTCATATACTCGTTATAACTTGTTGCTAACTTAGTGGCAAGACAGTCGTCACAGAACTCAATCCCGTAACTTGCACAAATTTCATTTTTCATAAAAACACGGGACATGCCAGAGGATGCCACAACATAATTAATTTATAAATGGGAATGATTGAGACAGCCGAACCGAATACAAATAAAAAAAAAGTTGTAAAGGATAAGAAAGGTACTTAATCAATATACCGGTGCTGGAACTGTACATGACTGGCACCCTTGAATCGGACCCTGGACGGTTGACGAGAACGTAGCCACTAGGAACGGAAGGCCAGGTGTAAAACGTCACAGGCGCAGGTAAATGCGACGTTTTAGACGGCTGCTCCCCCGAACTGCGGGGACACAAGACGCACAAACACACACAGACAGCTGCACTATATATTCGCATCTTTTACGCGTGCAAGGAACGCCAACCTAATGTGATTAAAATTTTATGCTCGCCGTTTTTCGCTTTTTTCTTTGTTATTGTTTTTGTTGTTGTTGTTTGTGTTTTTTGGGCGCGCCGTTCGGCCAATAAAAATAAAGAGTGGCAGCACTGGCAGCACTTTGAAATAGTGCACACACACACACACACACACACACACACACGCACACGAAAGCACCTACACAGACTCCTACACTCATTGGGGCAGCAACAAATTTCTTTGGTGTTAGTTGATTTTATGTTGCGTTTATTTTGCGATTGCGCATACGACCCGTGTACGCGTCGAATAGTCCTCTTCGCTGCCCTCGCCACGGGTGCCATTGTTAAAGTGCCCGCTTAATGGATTCTTAAATAAAATTTTAAAGCGTTTCAAATTTAGTGTCGAGTTTTAGTGTTTGTCATTAGTGTTTTGGCAGGCGTTAAATATTTAATGGCCGCTGTGGCAGCCCGGATGGCAAAATATGGTTGGCAGCAGGCACCAGGCAGCAGAAAGCAGGCAACAGTTTCTGTGGCAGTATGTGTGGGGAGCGAGCAACTTTGCAACAAAGTGTTTGTGTTGCGTGGATAATTAATATGGCGTGAGCGCGTGCTGGCACTGCCGCCGGGTACGTACTGAAGCAGTTGGCAGTTGGTGCTTCAGAAGATGAAATGAAGGCAATGCGAGGACGCAATGTTGTGGTAAGATGGCTGCGGGTATGGCTCTGAAACTGAAACTGACACTGGCTGGCGATTCAAGCGATTTCAAAGTGTTGGACACATGCTTTGTGTGCAGTTCTGGAACCATACCAGATGACAATGTGGTGGTAAAAACAGACATACTCGTACAAGCGCTGCCTGTTGTAACAGTTGAAAACGTTAACTGACACAGTTAAATAAAAAAAGGGAAAATTGTGTGAAAAGGTAATGCCGCACACTCGGTGAGCACGATGTCTGCACATACGATGCCTTTACATATATGTGCATATAGTATATATATACGTGTATATATATCGCAATCATATTCACATAATGATGAGGTCGAACGTTAGCAGGAAAAAATCTTCAAACATTAAATGCAATTATGCGGACTAAGCCCATAATTTAATTTAGTTGTTGTAAAATACCAGCTAGGGCAGAGAAAGTTTGAAATGAAATGTTTGTTTATTATTTTTTGTTAAGAGCGGCCTGTGCAACATGCAAAGAAAAACCAAAATTGACAAAATATTTATAGAGATATATTTTTAGAAATGTTCTTTGGAATACAATTGTTCGACTGCCGCACGCCTATATGTTAACCGAACTTATTCCATCTGCCACTGCACACATTACTAACTAATGGAGAAACGAAATATGTTTGAAAAAGTCAGTTGGAAGTAAGGCCATTAAAAGTTGTTTATGATAGCCCATTGATTATTTCCCTAGCAGCTATGTGGGATGCGAGCTAATAGCTTTGGGTTAATACAAGTATTACAGATTAATATAATAATAACGAACTTATGAAACTTGTTATTGGAAAACGTTGTTGCTTTCATTGAATCCATTTAAAAAATGTCCGTTATTTATGGGCTATTTTTGGTTTAAAAGCCTTTAAATATACATGCAACTTTCTTCCTTGTTCAGTTAAATATACATACTTGGATCTGAACGAAAATGATAGAAGAGTGCCCTTTTACAAAAAAATTTCGATTCCAACGAAGATAAGAAGATCATGCCTTACCAGCCTTAGACTAAAACTATTAAAAAAAAAAAATACCTAAGGTGCAAAATCTGACCTAAAACCTGATGTTTGCGATAGTTTTTTGTTTATTCTGCATGACCATTCGTTTGAATTTGAAGCCGTTTTGTAAACATTTGCTAATGTAAAACTAATGTTAAAATAGAAACCACATCAATAAATAATTTTACTGCGTTAAGGCTAAGTTTTTCAAAATGGGAAAAAGCTTAAATTTTAATCACTCTGTCAATTATTGAAAGGAAATATATTTATGTATATCAATTATTGAAAGGAAATATATTTACAAGTA